CGATCATCAGATACTGTCCAAGATTAACCTTCAGGGTGGATATAGTTCGCTTACATCGAGGACCTATCCAGGTCATCATTTACCCAGAATGCTTTGTGTGTAAATAAAGTGGCTCCGTCCGTGTTAAAAAATGTTTTAAAAAAGTTACAAAACTAAACAGCCTACAATATGTTTACAGTCTTCATTTTACAGTTAAAATAAATGTTTATCAAATAAAGTCTAATGTTACAACTAATCCTGGATCCCTTTAAGTTTGTTTGCAGTTCTAAACATATTTAATGTTTTTACTCACTTTCTCTTCGTTGTTGATATACAGTGCATCTCCCCGGGCCACATCACAGCTATCGGCAAATGTTCAAATATGCAAATTAGGTGACGTCTTTTACAGCTTTTAGGACAAAATAATACGATTTTTCTTACTGAGGAGTTGGCAACAGTGGTCAATGTCCCYAAATCTCATTCCAAGCTCATGTCGGCTTCAGAGTCCTGCTTTAGCGAACTAATTTAGTGAAAAGTAGAATGTTTTAAAATAAACTTTTAATTGTAGAATTTTGTATTGGATCCTGATATTTTAGGCATTTTGTTCCCCAACAGCTGAAAATACTGCTTTAATCAAAAGCATACCCTTATGCTAACTTAGCATTTAGCAATAATTATAAATTGTTAGCAGTTAGCTACAGAAAGTGGAGAGTGTTGGTTTATTTTAGGATGTATTTCTCTCTGCCGAGCACAAACACTTCTCTCTGAAAGACTCTAAAGAAAAACTGTTGTTGAGCTGCTGAAAATGAAGAAGTTCTTTTTAAAACTAACATATTATACTTATTTATCGTTTCAGGCAAGTTTAAGTTTCTTCTTGTGTAATAATTCCTCCCCCTTCCTCTTTCTTGACTTCCTACATCTTTAGGACACAGATTTTCATGAAAAAATATTATTTTTGGTGCCGTTCGTGTAACTCACCCACACTWCGCTCTCGTGTTCTGTCCTTGTCCTCCTTGTTGACTCGCAGTGTGGTGTCTCTCCTCTCCTGGAGGGCTTCACATTGGTAGGATCACACACACACAGTGTGTCCTGTTAATTTGTGTGTTTGTGCACAATCTGTGCCCCCCTGTGGTTCACAGCAGGACAAGAAGTAGATATTTATAGCATAATTTTATAAAGTGTGCGCACTCCTTTACCATAATGATGTGATGTTACTAAATGTGCATCTAAAAAGCATGGAAGCTAATTAAAAAACTAGTATTGATAATTATCATCACATTCCTGTTTTCTGACTCACTGGAAATAACATGTGGTTATAAAGGTCTCACATGACTGCTGGTATCACAGCAGTTTAGTAACAGATGCCAAAGCAGGARGTGGATATTTAAATGCAAGAGTAAAAGGGGATTTGATAGTCTGATAAAAGGAAGTGTGTTTATATAAAAMAGAAAGATTATATTTTTTATTTCTCTGGCTATTTATTTGTTAATTTTTTTTCACTAACTTTATAATTTCACACTTTTTACCTTAATAAATGTGGTTACAATGAAAATGTGGAATTCGGGGGGAAAAATGGAAAAAGTGGAATTTAGAAAAAAAAATAGAAAAATAAAATGGATTTTGTAGGGCCCTAAATGTGGTGTGTGTGTGTGTGTTTCTGCAGGTATTCCCTTCATTTCCTGATCCAGAGCGGCCTGTCCTATGG